GGCAGGGGCAGGGGTGAATGGGGCCCCAGGGCTGGGGCAAGTCATGGGATGCTCAAAGCCCAGGGCAGCTCAGGCTCCCACTGCTGCATGCACCTCCCCAAGGTGGGCACAAGGGATACATGCCCCCCAAATCTTTGTTGCATGCAGGGTGGAGGTGGCACTACCCCCTGCTTGCTGGCTGTACTGCCTGCCTGGCAGTGGGAGGCACATGGTGTCACATGGCTGCCCAGGGCCCTGGCAGCGGGATGTGGAGTGCAGCCCACAGTGGCAGTCACCTCCACCCTGTACACAGCACAGATCAAGGGCGGGGGCACATATTCCCTGTGCCTGCCCTGGGGGTGCACACAGTGGTAGGAGCTCCCCTCCCATGCCCCTGGATGAACCACCCAGGCAGTGAGCATCCCACGACCTGCCCCAGGTCCCCGTTCACCCCCCCTGTGGGAGCCTTAATCTGCCCCCACCACACCCTTTCTCTCCCCTGCACCCCTTCCCATCAATACATTTACCTGGCTGCCTGCAGGCTCCAACTGCTTGTCGATGTCTGTGTGCGCCCCTCCCGCAACTACAGCCACCTGGAGCCCATGCCTGGGCTGCCTACCTTTGAGGGGGGACTAAGCCCCCTTAGCCCTGGCCTTCCACCACCTATATGGAGCATGGTAATTGCCATGCTCCAGCAGACTCAATTAATCAAGTCTGCTCCAATGCGCTGGAATTCCAACACACTGGAGCAGCCTCTACATTCTCGTATAGGCTCCCTAAAAACCTACAATTCACTGAAAGGTGGCCAGTCCATTAGGAAAAACTTTACTTAAGTTTCAGAGGCTAAGTCCTGAAAAAGTAAGGATATCTTACATATGCAGGTGGGTTCTTCTGTGCGAACAAAAGTTCAGTCTAAGAGAAACACTGTCTGAAAGTAGATATGAAGTTGCAGAAATGTGATATATGGGTCTGCTAACAATACTTAATTTCGTCATTCTGTAGTTAAACTAATTCTAACTAGATTAGAATGGAAAATTCCTCTGCTTAAAATACTTTAATCTCTGTTCTACTTCTAAAATTCTCTCAGCTGTGATATTTTCTTGCTTATACCCTTTCCTTGAATTCTGTGTCCT